TACTGCTCCCACTCAGTAGCAGTTGGATAATATTTATAATATAATTATATATAGCCCTTAATATGACCCCTAGTATAGACTGTTACTGGGTGGGGCAGTACCCAAGGTTTAGGGTTGAGGACTTAGGGTTTAGGTTTCAGGGTTGAGGGTTTAGGGATTAGGATTTGGGATTTAAGGTTTAGGGTTAAGGGTTAAGGGTTAAGGGTTTAGGGTTAAGGGTTAAGGGTTCAAGGATCAGGGTTTAGGGTGAAGAGTCAAGGGGGAAAGGGTGGAGGAATACTTGGCCCCAATAATGGAGAATCACAAATGGATAATGAAATGGAAACTGGCATTCTATAAGGGCTCATAGAGGTAAAGGTTTCCCAAAATAAGCGGTACCTTTCGCGGAACCCCTATAATAAGCATCATTGTATGTTGCGGTCTATATTCGGGTATTGTGGGACTACCAAATAGAGATTCGGGATTTAGGATTTAGAGGTTTGAAGGGTTTAGGGGTTAGAAGATTTAGGGTTTGGGCTTGAAAAAACTCTTAGGATTTGGAGGGTGTATGGTTGAGAGGGTTTAGGGAGCTAGAGGGGTTAGGGGTTTCAAGGGCTTGGGGGTTGAAAGGGTTTAGGTTCGAAGGATGTGTGGTTTAGGGTTCCAAGGGCTTAGAGCGTGCAACACGAGAAGGGTAGCTGCCGAAGTTACGGTCGCACTCGAAGGGATCCCTACAATGAGCGTCCTAGCATTCCTGAGTACAAACCGATACATACGTATGGAAATATGTATAAAGACGTACAAACAGAGCAGGCAGAGGCAGAGAGAGAGAGAGAGAGAGAGGGGGACCATAGTTCTGGCAGATATACCCAGATGCCGGCGATAAAACTTTCAGATTGCTGGCAAGCAGCTTGGGGCTGCCAGGATGGCAGCATTGCAACCCAACATACTTACAAGACACAATTCCAAGCAAAGTGCCATGTGCAGGAGTACACAAGAACGACAAAACTCTATGGATAAAGCATGGAGTTCTACACTTCTCCCTGCGTCCTTCTGAGAAGCGATATGATGGTGGGGATGTGCTGAAGTTCTACTTCTCCTCCATCCAACCCGCCCGCCTTGGACTTGAGTCCGAGGCTCTGATACAGCTTGAGCGCCTGTCAGGAGATGTTTAGGGATTGCAGTTAGATCAGTTAAAAAGAGCCTTACGACAAATCTTTGCAAATTTGCTGCGCATGTCTGACCGGACAAAGTCATGCAAGCCTGCAAAAGCCCTACCAAAGGATCTGAGGATCTCAGCCGCCACAAAAACCAGGGCAAGGACGAGCGAAAGAAAGGCAGCGCAAATTATGGATTTGTTTGCATCCATCACCAGAAAAGAAGACTGAAAACGATAATGGACTACTCTGTTTAGGCTTGCTCCTTATTGCAAGGGCTCACGAAATATGATTGTCACGTTTTCCTAAGAATTGCTAGTTCTGCATGTACTGATTGAAGTTAGGCCCCACGGATTTAGCAGCAAAGGAAAGCTTCACAAAGTGAGTCACTATCAACAATAGGTCTCGCGGCATCAACTATCCACGACCTGCAAGGCCTTTGTAAAGTGCCGGCCCATGACACATGACCAGGGGAAATAACACATCTGAAAACTTGCATCTCACCTAGCACATCATGTTCACTGTAGTCCCGGTACAGCCCCAGTCACCGTAGTGCAATCCTCATCAAACCTACATAAAAATCCTACAAAGTCCCCCTCTCACAAAAGCCCAGACCCTAAACCACCCTGAAGTTGGCATCAGGCATCCCGGATCCGGGAATTTTGAGGGGTCCTTAACGCCTTCTTGAAAATTCCCTGACGTGATTTTGAAGAACTCCTAAACTAGGTTAAGACCGGAACCATAAATAGATCCTAAAGCTCCAATCAAGGCCCAAAGCCCTGACCCCAAACCCCTGAGCCCCAAACCCCGCACCTCTTAATCCCAAACCCTCAAACCCTACACTCCTAAACGTTAACCCAAAACTCTAAAATCCCTAAACCCCTAAACCCCTAGCCCCTGAATCTTGGCAGCCTCTTGCCCAGCAGCAAAGCCTGCAGCTGACTCAGCAGCTGAGCACAGACCAGCGCCCTGAAGAAACTTTGAAGGAACTGGAGGGATTGGTTAGGGGTTTAGGGTTTAAGGTTTAAGGTTTAGGGGTCTAGGGGTCTAGGGGTTTAGGGTTTAGGGCTTAGGGAACTTTGAAGGAAATGGAGGGATTGGTCAGCGTTATATAGGGATAATGGAAAATAAAATGGAAGCTACTATAGTATATTGGGGTTATATAGGGGATAATGGAAAATAAAATGGAAGCGTTTAAGGTTTAGGAGTTTAGGGGTCTGAGGGTTTAGGATTTAGGGCTTAGGGAACGTTGAAGGAAATGGAGGGATTGGTTAAGGGTTTGGGGTTTAGGGTTTAGGGTCTAGGCATGTGAGGATAAATCCGGATATAAAAGAATAACGGAGAATCAAATGGAAGAGCACATGGAAAAATGAAATGGAAACTGGGATTCTGTCGTGGTCTGTATGAGTTTATAGGGTTTCCACAAATGCAGGATCTTCCAGGACTATAATGTATTGGGTATATTTGGGGCCCCCTATCTTTTCATGGAAGGTACTATCTATGAACTTGATGGGGATAAAGAATTTAAGGTTTACTTGTGACATTTGGGGGTGTTGTGGGGTGCAGGCTTAAGGGCTGAAGCTTCATGTGAACTATAATCTAAACTCCTTAAAGGGGGATTATGTTGAGTTTGGGGTTTAGGGTTTAGGGTTTAGGGTCTAAACTTCTTAAAGGGGGATCGTATAGGGGAGTATTATTGGGGTTATCATAAAGGGGATACTAGGAGTTAAGACAATGGCTCATACGGGCCCCTTGACTTCAGTCCTTGCTGAGGCTTTGAGTTTGGGCTCGGATAATGTATATAGGGAGGGTCTACAGCCTAGGAGTTTCGGGAGTCTTGGCTTGAAGAGGACAGCTTGTCCAGCGCGGTATTCCAAGAACAGAATTGGGGTTCAGAGTTTAGGAATACAATCAGCGCTGAATCATGACAGGAAGATGAAGTCCGAGCATCGTTTGAAAGAACAACGCGGGCGATGAAATGCCACAGTTGAAGAGTGACGGCCGGAAGTGGTGGTCTTCAATATATCTATACCTGCATCTGCATCTCTATCTAAATCTCTATATCTCTCTATATCTCTCTCCATGTGTATCTATCTGCTTATCAAAAATATTCGCGCGTAGATAAATAAATATATATATATATACATATATGTATACATACACATATATGTATACGTATATGTGTATATATGTGTGTGTGTATGCATGTAGCTAGGGTCTCAGTTTGGGACTTTCCGCGCATGTATTCAATGGATGCCCGCCAAAAAGCCCAGTAGCACTACTAAACACCAGTGGAAAAGGACCTTCCCAAAAACTGCTTCATCCTTAAAGACTTCATTCACACACAGTGACGACAACGGGTATTGCGCGGGCCAGCCTCAGTTACTAAACTATACTATGATGAACTATAATACAATAAAATATAGTGGAGTATGGAAGAATATACTGCAATCTACGATGATATGTCATAGAATACTGCAATATACTATAGTATGTCATGATATACTATAATTTATGATAATATACTATAACTAGTAGGGAGTTACTTGGGGATTGCTTGAAAAAATTCCCATAAGCTCTAAACCCTAAACCCTAAACCCAAAAGCTCCTGGCACCCCCACCTTGGCCACCAAGCAAAGCGCCTTGGCCTCCAGAAGCTTCTCCCCGAGGCCCCTGACAACCGGCGGAATTATATTGGGATATATAATTTAGGGTTTAGGGTTTAGGGTATTACATAAGGGTTATATTGGGGGTTATTGAAGGGTTATAAGGTTAGGGTTTCGGATTTAGGGGTTATATTGGGATAATTGGAAAGAAAATGGAAACTACTAGAGTATATTAGGGTTATATAGGGATAATGGACACGAAAATGGAAACTAATATACTGGTTCATATAGGGTTTAGGAAGAATGTGGGAGGTTCCTGACAACTCATTGGATACCCAACCTATTTTCAGGTGATGGCACTGATCTCAAGACCTTCCTCCTTGCTACGGCTGCACCATGAACGTCTTGGGATGCGCGTTTGACGTAGAGGTGCATTCAGACAGTTTTTTTGGACGGTAAGTATGGCTTACGTTGTTACTGAGGCTAGCAGCACGGGAAAAACATGTCCCATATAACCCCAATATACTAGAGTAGTTTCCATGTTCTTTACCATTATCCCGATATAACCCCCATGTACCCTCTACATAACCGACTCTGCAGCCTGCAAGCGTTCGCGCCTTGCAACTTCGAGAGCCTCCTTTGCTGTTGCAAGAGCATGCTTGCCGTCTCCCTGGATGAGGTAGGCCTCCGCTGATTTTGTTGCAACTTGCCTAGAGCTCATAGAGATAGTGTAGTTTCCCGAAAAAGGGGGCCACAAGGTAGACCCCCAACGTACTATAGTACCCATGATGAGGGCCCCCAAGAAAGTACCCCAATTTGGGGACCCTCATAACTACTCAGGCGTGCAGATAAAAGGGGAAAACATCTTGAGACCGTCGTTGTGCAGCGACAAAACTTCCTTGCGGGGACTCTGGAACCAGCATGCTCTGCGGAGCCCCGGAAAGAGACCCGGCCTCCACGATGGTAGTCAGGATTGCGTATTCCTTCATCCTGCGTTTGGAGTCTTACTTGCAGCATCCCGTTTAGCCTGTGGTATGACACTCAGCAGGCAGATTGTGAGACAAACCAGGTGAGCAACGAATGTGATGTTGGGATGGTCAGCAATGAGAACCCCAAGGCCTGAATGAACGCTCTCCTAAGCCAGATGCAAACTTCAGGCGCCACAAGCAGTCCTGTCTCCGATCTGTCGAGATAGCTTCAGGCCTTCAGCTGCCCGGAAAACGCAGTCATCAGTGCTGTCCTGGGAGAATGGGATCAGGGATTCTAGTTTGAGCTGGGCTCAGAAAAAAGCAGAAATTGTGTGCGTTAGTCTTCTGCAGCGAGAGGGCAAAATTCCACGACATGTACCTTTATATGAGCTATAGTCTAAACTCCTAGTATCCCCCTTAATATATTATCCCCTATTTAACGCCTTGACGAGTTAAGACCCTGAACCCTAAACCTTAAACTCTAAACCCTATGTAATCCCCTGTATAAGCCCCATTTAAGAAGTTTAGGCCATATTACTATAGTGGTATATTACAACTTTGTCCATTTCATTTTCCATGTTCTTTTCCATTTGATTCTGCACTGTTGGGGCTAACATTCCTTTTGTAGTCCCTTATATAATCCCCTGTATAACCACATATGCAGCCCTACACTCTGAACCCTGCCTAAACTGGGTTGCTGTTAAGGAACTTAAATTAAGTTACCATAATGGGTATATATAGTAAATAATAGGGTTTCCCCAATATAGTAACTTAATTTAAGTTCCTTAAATTCCTATATTCCCCCAGTTTCCATTTCATTTTCCATTTTCTTTTCCATTTCATTCTCCATTATAGGGGGATAATTCCTTAATTTAAGTTCCTTAACAGCAACCCAGCAAATAGTCGTTTCCCCCCTTCACCCCTGCCAGGAGACCTTCCCGAGATGTGCCAGGGCGATGCTGTGAATGGCAGCCACTTGGCCCTTACCATGGCCGATCTCCTTTTTTAGGGGTTTAGGGTTTAAGGCTTTTGGGTTTAGGGGTTTCGGGGTTTAGGGGTTTAGGGGTGAGGGGTTTTGGGTTTTGGGGTTTAGGGTTTAGGGTTTAGGGGGCTTAGTGCTTCTTTGAACAACTACTCTGTGATTTTCAGTTTTAGGCAGGAGGAGTGGGAAACAGGCCCGTAAGCTAGCAAGGAAAGAACTTACCGAGGCTGCGGCTACAGAGCGCTTTCAGAAGAGTTGCGAAGGAATCGCACACAAAATCTGCTCCAAAAAGAAAATCCTAAATTGTCTGTTAGAAATCTGGTTGTGCAATCATCGAGCGTACTGATGCCTGAACCCGTACATCACCAATTCGACTATCAGACCAAGATAGCTGCATTGCATTCGTACAAGCTCCAAGCCAGCAAGCCTAGTCGCTAAACATTTCCAAAAATTATATAATGACTCCTCTCTGAAAACTACATGACTCCCTGGAAGAATTTTGTCAGAAACTGCAAACTCCATTAACAATGGACGAGCACAACTTCTCCTCGCAAATGTTCATGGGAATTGGGTGGTCAAATCAAGTAAAAACTTCGTCCTGCTCCTGACATTTGGAGATCCCAAGCAACACTGTTCTGCAGATTCCACTGTGGCATTTTCAAAAGGCGTTACCTCAGAAACCCTGGGATGTGCAACCACGCAAGGAAAGTTTTGCATGTCCTCTTCAATTTACAATGGCTCTTCCATGTGGCAGTTTCCTAAAACAGGGGGACCCCAAGATAGTCCCCAATGTATGATAGTCCCTGTTACAGGAACCCTTAACCCTAAACCCAATATACTATAGTCCTTATTCCCTAAACCCTAAACCCTGAACCCTTAAACATGGACCCCTACCTTTGGGAAAGCCCCATACGAGCCACTGTCTAAACTCCTAGTATCCCCCAGAACAAGCCCTATAGTAGTCCCATATATAATCCCCTATATAACCCCCTTTAAGGAGTTTAGACTATGGCTCATATGTTGCTGGCAGATCCTTGAAGGTCTTCAGTGACTGGTTCGCCGCCTGGAGAGCTCCGAAGGCATCAACCCCAAGGGAAGCCACGGCCACAGCCCGAAGAGCTGTGGCTTCGCCTCAGGTTCCAGGGTTAGGGTTTACGGACGGTCTTAAAGCGTGTTTGTCCTGTTATGGCGCCTTTTGCAGGGGTCTGAAGTTAGGGGTTCAAGGTCAAACGTTTTGGGATTAAGGTTTTGGCTTTAGGGTTCAAAACTAAAGATGAAGAACTCCCATCTGCTCTCTGTGCACTCGCAGCCGGGACACCCTCGGGCGCATTGAGCTCGCGAAAGCTCGCCAAGGCTTGCTTGGCGTTCCTGAGGGAGCTGCGATATTTGTTGCCGATGATGTAGAAATTGTACAAAGATAGCGAAAGAATTACCAATGACTACATGTGCATTCTGTGCTGATGTTGCAGGAGCACTGTTACGCATACATAGCACAATTCCACAAAGTAGGATTGCTTCTGCCAAAAGATGGAAACCTTGGGATTCCTTTATCCTTGTTAGCGCAACCTCGCAGGAGAAAAGAAGCCTGCATGCTGCCTCACGCAAGTCAGGGTCCTCCTTTGGGTCACCATTGACCATCCACTTGTAGTGACGTCCAGGTCTGGATACTTGCCCATATAACCCTATATAACCCTGCATGACCCTATGTAATCCCTACACGATTATGTTCAAACTTTGTATTGGTTTCCTTGGCAGGTTGAGGGCTTGCACAGGATGTCTAGTGCCCAAGTCAGCCTCAAACTCCATCAACGGGGCACATGATTCGAGTGCATGGGAACAATTGTCAGGTAGGCAAAGGCTAAGCATGGAGACACGTCCCGATTTCTCAATCTAGCAGCAGCCCAGTTCACTGGAAATACCTGAACCCCTGCAGATCCACACCGGGGCTCTTGAGCGCATCTTCAGACTGAGGGCTCTCCATTTGCAGTTGGGCCAGAGAGGCCTGTGCAGAGTTCTCAGGGCAGACTCTCAGTAATGAGTGTCGAACATGTGGGCTCTTTCCAGGCAGTAGCATATTATGGCAACTCACATTCAAGCTGCGAAAGTCTGCCCTCTTCCAGGAACGAATACTCCAACAATTGCCATCGGCTTCGGGCCTTGACCAGCGCGGCAGCTTTCTGGCGCGCATCTGAGATCTTCTGCGGGGCGTCTGCAGCCGCCTGCCCAACACTCCCAGGGACATGAGGGGTTCAAGTACCATAATTACTTCTGTGATTGCATGTCTATTTCTACCACTATCACCGTTCGTTGGGGTCCTTCAATGGCAGGTTCCTTGGCACGCTTTGTGCTTCAGGGCCAGCGGCACTCAAGCTGATGCCTCTAAAGTCTCAAAAAGGACGCCTTGCTTCCCAAATGGTAATCTCCATGGACGCCAATATTGATGCCAAAATACGATTATATTTAACATCGGGATCCCAAACGAATTTGGCTTTGGGGAAAACCCTCAAATCTGACCAGCCTTCAGTGTGGCCTCGTCCTCCGTCTTGGAGCTGCTGAGGTCTGCCACGGTGATGGGCGTCAGCCTTGTACTTAATGGGGCTTAGTAAGGCATAAGGGAATATATCACATTCCCTACTAACAACCAGTAAATGTAGGTTCAAGGATCAAAGATCCAGCCCAATGCTAGGGGTACAGCTATGGCAGCAATGCAATCTCCATAAACCCCATATGGCGCTTGCAGCCCTGTCTGGACTGTCAAAATCTGGGAACATGTCGAAGTGTCTATTTGTGTCAACCGGTGCTACCTACTGTTCTCGGGAGCTCATGCGCCCGCTTTTCCCTACATGGTGATATATGTTGCCAACCTACTAACATGATAACATATCGATAACAAGGATCCGGAAAATATGACTCATGATTTTGAGGCAACCCCCTTCATGCCGATGCAAATGCCAAGCAGGCCCAACACAATCCCTGCAGAGCAATTCTTTGATCCAAACCTAACCCTGCCCTGGCTTGTTGTCTTTCACAGCTCTTCTTGTTCCCATCTTTACATCCGGGTACCCTACATGTCGGACATGAGTACAGGCCACTGCACAACGCACCCCAACTGTTGTGAAGGATGGCCGACCTTACACCCTGAACCCCTCAACCCTGCGCCTCAACCCTTAACCGCCTGACCCCAAATGGGGGTTTATCAAAATTAGGGGTACCCTTATTGGGGTCCCTATAATAAAGGCTATAATATTTTAGGGTCCATATTGGGGTCCGCTTACTTTGAGAAACTGCCAAAACCCTACAGATGCAACTCTAAGGATCCAAACCCTGCACCTTCCATGCCAACCCCGTAACCTCTACACCTGAAACCCCACGCCCTGAAACCTACCTACATCTCCGACCCTAAGTGCGAAGCCCCAAAGAAACCCAAAAGTTCTTTAACTGGCAAACCCTTGAGAACCTTTTAAAACCAAAGAAATCAAGCCTTCTTTAGGTGGAAAACCCTTTAAAGTTATACCCGAAAAACACTGAAAGCTTCTTTAAACCCTTTGAACCCCATTCGCACCAACAAAACCCTAGAGCTTCTTCAACGGTCAAACAAGTCAACCCTAAATCCTAAGCCCTAAATCCTAAACCTTAAACCCCCAACCCATAAACCCTAAACTCCTAAACCCCGAACCCTTAAACCTAAACCCGAAACCCCTAAACCTTAAACCCCTAAACCCTAAACCCCTAAACCGTAAACCCCTAAACTCCTAAACCGTACTCAATCTTCCCATCACCTCCTTTACCTGACAGGCGACTTCTCAGTCCAGCTCACTCCAACTTCCTTGGCGAGGTCCATTGCCTTGGATGCTTCTGGGATTATGTGGGGGTTCCCCAAAATTAGGGGTCCCTTTGTAGGGTCCCTATAATGTGGACTAATATTTTGGGGCCCATATTGGGGTCCCCTCATTTTGGGAAACTCCCATGTAGGGATTTGGTAGGGGTTACATTCTACAGTGCTTAAGGCTTCAGGTCGAGGGTCTAAGGTTTACGATTTAAGGTCTAATGTTTGGGGCTACTATGTTCAGAACTAGCCACCATGTTGGATGCTGGTAGGCGGGGTCACACAAAAAGACAAGTCAATTCAAGGCTCTAGACTCTAGCTTCCTAGCGCATTACTTCCCGCAGCCTGAAGCAGCCATTTGACCCTCAGGCAGCCCTACCTCCTCTGAATACAGCTAAGGGTTTTGGGGATTTGGGGTTTTAGGGTTTAAGGGTTTAGGGGATTTGGGGTTTTAGGGCTTAAGGGTTTCGGGGATTTGGGGTTTTACGGTGTAGGGTTGGACAACAACTCGACTGTATGGCTGAGCTGCAGTTTTCACGGCGCCCCCCGCCTGCACACAAGGGTGAAAGATGAGAATGTGTCGTGAAACTTCATCATGCCAAAAGGGAACCTGCCTACTTCACATGACTCTTGAATAGGCTGTGGAATAGACTGTCCTGTCTTTTGTGCTTCTTGACCACTGCAACTCAGAACATGGGGATTGCAATGGGATTTCGGGGTCCTGGCTAGGGATTCCACAAGGACAATTTTGAAAAATACCTTCCTGCGATGATCTTTTGTTCAAGTAAGCCCAATGGCCCCCTATAAGCCCCATAACCCCCTTTAATCAAGAAGACTTACCAAGTTTATAGCCGATTACCCCAGTTATTAAGTAGACTTACCAAGTCAAGACAGCATCCAGGTACCTTCTTGGGGATCCCTATAATAAGGACTATAGTATATTGGGGTCTATATTAGGGTACTCTAATTTTGGGAAACCACCATTTAGAAGTTTGTTAGACCAACACACCCACCTTGCCCGAGGCAGTCTTCGCCAAGTCGGCAGCCTGGCCCGCGGAATCCAGTGAAGTTGTATAGGAGTTGTATAGGGTCTTGTAAGGACTTGGGGTTTAGGGATATCAATGTAAAGGGCTTAGGTTTTAGGGTTTAGAGATAGTACTTTAAAGGATTTATGGAGTTTAGGGATTTTACACCCAATAATGGAGCAGCAAATGGAAAATTTGAATTGCACGCAGCTCGACCGTGCTGTGAGCATGGCGGGCATAAGCAGATGGAGAATGGAACGGAGAATGAAATGCAAACTAGGATTCTATAGATTGTAGTCTATACGGGGTTATACGGATTAGGGGCTTCCAAAAGTTTAGAGGTACTTTTTTGGGTGTCCCGTTTGTAGGAATTAAAATATTTGGAGTGTCTATATTGGGTTGCCCCTGTTTATGGAAACCACCATATAGGAATTGTACAAGGCTTAAACAAGGATTACATGAGCTACAGTCAACATTTCCCACATACATAATGGACATGGCCTCTGATTACGCAACAAATTCTGTTAAGAGACTATACTGACTATACTGAACTACCCCATGTCCACGGCATAGGGTTACATAGGGTTCAGCACGCCAATGACGGAGAATCAAAGGGAACGAATGAACATGACTCCTTAGGTTTTAGGGTTTAGGGTAGGGATACTGCCGCAAAGGGAATTGGAATGGAAACCTGAGGTCCCTTTGAAGGGGTTATAGTATGGGGACTTATCAGATTCAGCAGTATTACCCCAAGGCTGCAGAATCAAATGGAAAAGAGAACAGACATGAAATGGGAACTGAGTTTGAATATGGGCTCTGTAAAGGGATTCTGCATCCAATTCTTCACCTCTACTCCTGATATTGGAACTTCAGCCAGTTATGGGTGCCCGTGACCACTGCACCTCTGGTAATCAGTTTCCTGAAAAAAACTCATGATGTAATCTGACGACAGTGTCAACTTCCCTAAACCCCAAACCCTAAACCCCAAACCCTAAACCCCAAACCCCAAACCCCCAACCCTAAACCGCTGAATTCCGGGCCTTGCCCCAAGGCCCGGAATCACCGCCACTTCCACCAGCTGCTAGTAGGCCAGCTGCCTGACGCCCAGATCACTTCTCCGTAGCCCTTACACAGAAGACATTATAGTAATAGTATATTATGGCATATTATGGTATACTAGGATATGATAGAATATAACATGCTATGCTATACTATATTACACTATAATGCCCAGGAAACCCTTCTTAAACTCTCAGGAAAGCCTCAGCTACCCTAAACCCCAAACCCTAAACCCCAAACCCTAAACCCAAAACCCAAAATCCCAGAAAAACATCAGCCTCACTCCAGGTGGCACCCAGGCTGCGCAGGGCCTCGATAAAGTCGGGGCCTGCAGGGTGAAGAGAGGGCAGGAAGATGACACGGTCTTGGGTCTTGGGTTTAGGGTTTAGGGTTTTGGGTCTTGGGTCTTGGGTTTAGGGTCTAGGCTATAGGCGTATGGGGCTTCGTATCAGAATAGGATAGAATAACAATGAACCAAATGTAGAACATTAAAGCAAATTTGAACACAAAGTCTGAAGTGTTGTAGATTCTATGTGAAGGACGTGTATGTGTGGGATGGCCACGAAAAAAGAATCCAGCCTGACTTGCCAAGTTGGGCCACCAGGGCCGTGATGGCTCCTGCTGCTTCGAGCATCTTCATGCCATTGTCTTTGCCCTGCGTTGTTCAGGGTTTAGGGTTTAGGGTTTAGGTTTCAGTTGTTGGGGACATCACCCCAATAATGGAGAATCAAATCGTAAAGAACATGGTAAACGAAATGAAAACTACAGTTACGTTTTTTTTAATGCTTGGGGTCAGGCCTAGGGATTTAACCCAATCATGGAGAAACCAGTGGAAATGTAAATGCAAAAAAAACAGACGCTGGGTTGATCTATGGGGATTCCCCCAAACTCGGGGGTACATGTGTGAGATGATTATGATCTCTTGGGATCTATGTCGAGGTCCCCCCATTTTGGCTGCTCAGTCAGGTTGGAGTCTCTGAAGGCTCTGAAACTTTTATTCCACAGAACTTTATCACAGGACTGGATTTTGGGCTAGAATACCCCCAAGCCCCAGTTCCATGTTCTTTTCCATATGATCCCTGAACCCTGGACCCTAAACTCTAAACCCTAGACCCAAAACCCCTCATTTTGAGAACCCACATCTGCCGACGCAACCGCACATGCTGACCCGGGCCTTCTTCTGAAGGTCCGCGCCAAGCTTTGCGGCATCATCTGCTTTCTTGTTTGCCTGATGTTATATGGGGGTGTTATATAAGGGTAATGGAAAAGAAAATGGAAACTACTACTATATAGGGGTTATACAGGGGTTATATAAGGCGTATATATTGGGGTTATATAGCTATAATGGAAAAGCAATTGGAAACTATCATTCAGGGTTTAGGGCTTAGGGGTTACTACTGGGATAAGCAACGTATAAATGGTTACAGTAGCGCTAGAATGGGCTTAGGAAGGAGAAACCATATACTACGTAACTCCAGGGTCCCTCAAAGCAGTCTACCGTTGAGACCACCTAGCCCTAGTGCGGGCACATTTGGGAAGCTCACATTACACATCCCCTACCGGCCCAATCCAGCACCTATACTTGGTACATGGAAAACAGGTAGGCCAAAATTAGGGGCCCATGGTATGGATGGAGATGGAGGTAGCTGCCAGTTGGCCTCTATTTAGCACT